CCGTGATGGATTCCTGCGCATCCGAATCTTTTCAAGGGTCACAGTCACTTGTAATGATTGCCTCAGCACACAGCATATACTCCATATCCCGAAGATGGGAAGGGCGTGGCTAGATGTTTCATTTGGACCTGACATATAACGCATTCACCAGGATTTTTTCATCTGAGTCGTATTCTGTGCTGGGCAAAGACATGTTTATAATTTTCCCGAAACGAAAGTATCCCTTCAGAAGCACAACGGCAGATCTATCCCAATAAACTATGCGGCCACGCCCTCTACATCTTCAAGATACGGAGTGCCCTTGACCAGACAGTTCCGGTTACTCATCAGGGAAAACTCTGTTGTTCCTCCACTTTGTCGCCCTCATAAAGACCAAACATAGATTCTGAATTTTATGTGCAAATGACCATCGGTACAAAACCTGCAAACTTCCAACAAATAAACATCAACAACTTCAAATATCTAACAACAACAATAACAACAAAATTTCACGTGTACAGTTATTTTTACTTTTTTGTCAACTCTGATGCCATAAAGTTGTAGAGTTCCGCATTGATTTTCTTCAACCGTTGGATTTCCTGGCGTTGCGCTTCTATTAATTTTTTATCATCGCTCGAAGAAGAGTCTGAAATCCGCCTTCACCAGCTATTTTCTTCAGAACACTATAGTGAGCACAGAATGGAAAATTACCATACCAGTTTTGGAGGACGAAGATGATTCCGTGACTCCTAGGATATCCATATCGTTATCTAGTACAATAACATCTTCCTCCTTACCATTCGTTTCCGACATCCAATTTTCGCTTCTTTTTCTTCTTCTTCTGCTTGGCGTCGGAACTTCGAGCAGGCTTAAAATCAATACTGCCAAGAAGAAAAAAAAATTCGCAAATTTTTGTAGCACAACCATTCTCTAAAATAATTGCAAAACGGCTCAGGACATCCGCGTCGCTGCGTTGCGCAAGAATTTGCAGAGCATTTCCGAGTTGATTCGACGCACTATACTGTCACTCTGAATCAAGTGGGTCCTGGTGCGCAATGCTTCCCTTGCCGCAATATGGATGTGTTGGGCCACCCTCCCCCCCCCCCGAATGAAATGAAAATAGCGACTCAGTGAAGCTACTTGCTAGACAATAGAGAGACCCCTTTTCTACCTTTGAGCCATTTCTGGAGCAAAATCGCCGCTTGAATACCACGCTTTTGCCGAAAAGAGCGACTGCACAGAACTTTCTCTCCTCTTCCAATTGGAGCTTTTTAACCAAATTGAGAGGAAAGTAGTGCTGAATTAAAGGCAGAATCTCAATCGGAAAAGCCACAAAAGCTCAACGGTATTGAATCTTCACTTCTCTTATGTACTTCGCAACAGTGGGAATCTCTCATCATGGCATTACTAAAGCAACTGAGGCTGCGTTCAAACTTTGCGTTGGCCATCGCCATGCAACTGTCGCAATCGCGCTCCAATACTATAGACCGGAGCGCAGTCATAGACCGGCGTGAATAGCCGGCAGCTGTTGTTTATGGAGAGTATAAAGGGGTACCGAGCCATGTAATTAGGCGTTA